TGTTATCATTAAATATTTTTAATTAAATATTTTTTGACACAAACTGATTTCTCATTTTTTTATTTTATAAATTGTAAACATAATAACGGTTACATAGAAAATATAAACGTACATTTAATACATTTATAAATATGTTTGTTAGTACAAAATAGCAAATTTACCTCAAATCAGAGTTTTAAAATGTACTTAGACCCAATGTTTGGTAACAAACTTTCACTGTCAGCAAACAAATGCTGTTGTTTTCTTAACAACAACAAAAATCAATATTTATTACAATATTGTATAATATTATTATAACAATAAAAACATTGTGTTGTTATAATAATTAATACAGTTTTAGGACGACTATTAACAACAACAAAAAACGATATATTTATTATAGTATTTTATAATAATAATAATAATTTATATTAATTATGAAGACATTTAATAATAAATAATTAAAGAAGAATTCAAATAAAAAAAAAGAAAGTTTCAAGCCCTATTAGTACTTGACTCTTGGAAAGTGTCGACTATTATGAAATATACAGTAAAATTAGGAATACACTGAGATGCTTCTAAAACAAAAATAAAAGCAGATACATACTCTCGATCTCTCATGGGTTACAGTTCCACAGGGACACCATGATGTCCCAGGAGGAACCTCAGGAGGGACTTTCAACCCTGACCAAGGTGACAGGACCCAGCTCCTGGTCCCGGGTCAGTTGCCCCTGCTGTATCTCCAACCATATAGAACCTTTGGTTCTGATCCAGCTGGCTGAGAATGTCCAGCCCATCACCAAACAATGGATCATGTCCATGATATCTGCACCTGTGAAGGCTGGAGGTAAGAACAGTAATATTAATAATATTAAATACACTTTTAAATCTCAGTATCCTTCTTCCCTGCTGTGTTTTAGGGGCTCAATTGTTAGTTCACCCCGGTGAGGACATGAAAGGGGACATGATAGTTGTGGCGGCCCCTCGCTGTACCCTTCTCAGGGTGACTGAGGACCTGGGACTCTGCAAAACCTACCAGGATGGAAACATGACGGCTTTCTCCTTTGAGGACCGTGACAACTTTTGCAACATTGGTGAATATTTGATAAATGAAATAATAGACTGTGCCTGCATCTCAATTAGCAGATTTCTACTAGCCACTCGTGGCATACCAACAAATCAAAAACATTGTTTGATTAATTTTACAGAGTGTTCATGTTAGCATGTAAACTTTAACATCCGGCTAATGTTATTAGCTTAAAATTCATTGTTATTTCACTGTTTCTGCAGACAACATGCAGCAGTTCCTGACGCTGGCCGAGAGGCAGTACATCGTTAAACATGAATTGGATTCCATGAGAGCCATGGAGGACCAGCGTATCCCAGGAATCCCAGCACCCAAAGGGAAGTTAAAAGCCAGAGAGAGCATCTGTGAGTATCTGTATGTAGCAGTTGCAGTATGCATTTTTAACACCTTCTGGACTTATTTGACTGGACTGACACAACTGAAGACATTTTTGCATTAAATATGATCAAATTTAAAGATAATTATATTTATGGCTATGATCAAATTAGCATACTACCCATACTATTTTTTGCAGCTTGCAGCACATTTTTCTTCATGTATTGGAAATGTTTTTTGATCTTTTAAGGTTACATACAGTTTTGCAAACTGTGCTTTTATAAAATAGCAGGCATTATACAGTGCATTCTACACACTATGCAGTAAAAAGTTTGCCAGTACACTATTTATATCATGCAGTTCCATGAGTAGCCAGTAGGCTCCGCTCTCCTCTCTCTCTGAACTGCTTAGTCACTGCATGTTGCCTAGACTTCCAATGGTATTCCCATAGTTAAAACCTGATATGGTCATGTCCTGTCCATCTCTATCTATCTATCTATCTATCTATCTATCTATCTGTCTGTTTCTCTCTCTGTGCTGTAGTACAGAAGCTGGAGAAAGCAGGCGTGATCCGTAACATCACCCCTCTTCATGACCAGAAGCTGCTGTTGGCTCTGGGGAAGCAGTGGTACACTCACAAGAGTCTGTGGGGGCAGCCTTTAGGTACAAACACACACACATTCTCATCACTCAACTACACAGACATTAAATGACTTTAGTATGCCTCCCCATCAGATTTTAAATTATACACAATTATCTTTTATTCAGGACCATTTAATGGAGGCACTAATAAAACATTCTGAAGTATTTTGACTAGAACTCATAAATGTATTAATTAATTTCACAGTCTCATATGCCACACTGTGAAGCTACAATGTATTCTGTACACCTGGGGGTCTTCATTCTTTTTAGGCCTCTATATATATATATATATTACAGATGGACTTGTCCGATACTAAATTTCTCAGCCGATACCAATAGCCGATTATTCATAATATCTGCTGATGTTTAGTTTTCTTAGGGAAATAAATCTCTCCCAACTAATGCTGTAAACTATAAAGGAAACCCTTTCATTTGGTAGCCTACATAATATTAGAGCTTACAATTAATCACAAAAATATTATATTCAAATGTAGTTTCCGATATAATAAATCACACTCAAATAAAAACGTTTGCAACACAATTGCACATAAGGTATAAAAAAAAAACTTGTCTTCATAACAGATTTATTTAAACATACATCAGTTTCCTCTAGTGTTTTTATAGCTAACTAACCAGCTGTGAACACTGGATAACTTTTCTGAGGTAAATGCATCGTTCAGTGACATTGTTTACAAGCTGTTTTATTTGACATCTTTCTTTCGGTTGAAACGCTGATTGAGTGATTACATGAGATATGAGACATTTCGGTAAATTGCACATTTGCAATTGTCTTACAACATACCGTTTGATTTTCCTTCATGTTCATTTCGCGCGATAACTTGTATAAAACTGAAAGAGACTCGATCCGCGCTGCAGTTTGAACCGAAGCGGCTGTGCTGTAAGCCTGCAACTACGGGTGATTCATAGGGTCAAACAGCACCAGCATTAACGGCGTTAATGCATTATTACTTTAACTTGGACAGCGCTAAATTTGACACAAGAAACATTTTCGGCTGTTTTTAAACAATCGGCAAACCATAATGCAAATAATTGCTTTTATGGTCTGATACCGATTATTGGCCACACACACACACACACACACACACGCACACACGCACGCACGCACGCACGCACGCACACACACATATGTATATATATATATATATATATATATATATACATACATACAATTTCTTGCCATATATAGTACAGATAAAAAATATGAAAGTAGGAAACATTTTGACAACAATTGTTATAACAATATAAAAATATATATAAAAAATTAAAAATACATAAAGTGTATAATAAAAATATAATAGCCAAATTAAATATTAGTTTGTATTTTATTACAATTATTTTATTGTTATTACACTAATAAATCATTCTTTCTCTCTACAGACTCCATCCACACTTATTTTGGTGGCACTATAGCCTATTATTTCAGCTTCCTGGACTTCTACACTTTGGCATTATTTCCTCCAGCCATCCTAGGCCTCTTCATCACCTTTTTCCTCCCTAGTGCAAACTTCTCCAATGGAAATAAAACTGACAGCGAGCCGACACTGCCGAAGCATGACGATGAGCAGCCTTCAGTCAGCTCCTACATGGTGCAGGCAGTCTTCAGCATGCTGTGGTCCACGGTATTCATGGAGCTGTGGAAGAGGAGGAGCGCGGCTTTATCCTATCACTGGGGCACTTTCAATTTAGCTGAACAATTTCAAGAGCCCAGACCGGGTTTCCATGGAGAACTCAGCACCAATCCGGTCACGGGCAGACTGGAGCCACTGTTTCCTGAATGGAAGAGGAGGCTTAGGATAGGTGTGGTGTCAGTGCCCGTGGTTGGGGTGTTTTTGGGTCTGGTGGTCATGGGGATGGCAGGTTTCTACTTCTTTGAGCGCCTGGTCTCAGGCTGGCACAAAGCATCTGAATCATACTTCACAGCAGTCCTGCTGTACCTCCCTTCTATAGCCCATATACTCTACACTAATGTGCTTGGGAATATATATCGCAACGTGGCCTTGCAGCTAACAGAAGTAGGTAAGAAAAAGATCAGGCAAAAGAACTTGATTATAATATCGAGAGACGCAAAATTACTCAATATTAGTTGTCAAAACAACGGCATATAATGAAAGCGTATTTTTAAACTTATTTTGCTAAATTAAATGAATGTGAATTTTAATTTAAATTAGTTTATTATTAGCTTTTTACTGTAATTATATATAATAATATAACACATTATTATACATAATTATAAATATGATATATTGATTATATAATCTTTTCATATTTTGCAAAATATTCTGTTAGTAATAAAAATGAAGTAAAATAAATAAAAAATAAATATTTTAAAAATAAAATAGTAAAAATATAAATTATAGGATATAATAATTGGAATATGTATTCTGTAGAAATAATTAAAATGCACACTGCAGATTAACTAGATGTTCAGATTAACTATTGCTTCTTAACTCTGGTTATACTTAACTTGATACTATATTTCATATATTTATTTCTTTTTTTTCACAGAAAATAAACACCTACTGAAAATGTTTATTCTGGCTTGTGTGTCTTTATATGTTTCATATATTATATAATCTAGCATATAATATATTATATATATTAGAATAATATGCAATAACAATTGTTTGACAATTTTATTAAATAATTTATTTTATTAAAAATATATTTAATATTGAATTTATCAATGTTTTAAATGTTTATAATAATTATTATTTATAATAATAATTAAATAACAATTTTAGAAATCAGAAAACACACACATATTAAAGTCATACTATATTAAAAAATAACTAACTCTCTCGTCTTTCAGAAAATCATAGGGAGGCATCATCTTTTGACTATCATCATACCACCAAAGTCCTTGTGGTGAGTTTTATAATTCTCTAGTCTACATATCCATATGATGTTTTTTTTTTACAAAGTGTGTGCTTCATAGCAGGTGTTTTACCTCAAAGATCTTAAGCTAATTTTAAATGCTGATAGCTGTATATGTCTAGACCACAATGTTCTGCAGGACTCTTTGTAATACTAAATGTCTCATGTTCCTTATCTATCTCCATTTCTCATTCAGTTCACCTTTTTCAATAACTTTGCTGTGCTGTTCCACATTGCCTTCTTCAAGGAGGACTTGCCTCTGCTGCGCAAGGTGGGAATTTCCTCGGAAACCGTTCTCGCATATAATCCTAAGATTTCCATTAACACAATATCCGTGATTTCCTCCACAGAGACTTTCCTCTCTTTTGATCGTGACGCAAGTGGTGAATCAGTTCACTGAGGTGGTGGTTCCTTTCCTGGTGGACCGTTTCCTCACATCTGCAGACAGAAACCTGAAGGAAGATGATCCAGAGGTGGACCATCTCCAGGCTCAGGGCAGTCTGCCGGCTTTCCCAGTGAGTAGCAATCAAATGAGCTCAAATATCAAGAACACAGGAATTGTATTTTCCTTAAATTCTCAATCTTGTTCCTCTTCAGGGCCTGTTTGCTGAATACATCGAGCTTCTGGTTCAGTTTGGCTACTTGAGTCTTTTCTCTTGCGTCTATCCTCTCACTGCCCCTCTGTTACTGCTCAACAACCTCACAGAGATCCGCACAGATGCCTACAAGCTCTGCAAGCTCTTCAACAAGCCATTTTCTGCCCCTGTGGCCAACATGGGCGTATGGCAGGTCAGACTGTGATTTGTACTGTATATATGGATGTTTTAAATGCTTTATGATAACTGTGAGTTCTAATGTGTGTATTTGTCTTTTTTTATAGCTGGCATTTGAGGTGCTGAGTTTCATCTCGGTCATGTCTAACTGTTGGCTGCTGCTTCTGTCCCCACAAGTGAAGGAACTCACAGAGGATGCCGGTCTCAGCAGCAGCAAAGTTCTCGTCATTGCCGTCATTGTGGAGGTTAGAGAAGATTTTGGTACAGCTTTGGAAAAAGCCGAAGGCATAGACTGTCCAAAAATGAAAAAAGTGACCACATGCTTAATTTGTGACAAAAATGTCAAGATTTGCCTTAATATCAGCATACAGATTTGTAACAAAATGAGTTTTGGTGAACTGTTCCTTTAAATCAATGTGACTAATGGTGCGTTCAAGTAGTGTTTCTAAAGATTGCTTACTATGTAGTGAACACACATGGATGCCACCACAAAATTGTAATTACAAGTGAGATTATTTTTTGAAAGTGTATCACTGTCGGTCCCCATGCTCACAAAATGCTAATGCTAAGCTGTTCTGAAAAAGGTACTTTTTTTTTTTAATGCTGGTTGGGTCCTCTAGCATGTCCTGATCATGGTGAAGATGATTTTGGCCGTCATGATCCCTGATGAACCGGACTGGGTCCGAATCAAGAGAGAACAAATTGAGTATCACTCCATGCAAGCACTTAAGAAACAGGTAACTTTATCTACTAATGTTAACTGTTAGCATTTTAGCATGCTAGTATTTTGTTTATTTATATACAAAGGTGAGAAAAACAGTGTTGCAGTAACCATTATGCTAGATTTAGCAGTTAGCATATAGTTAGCAAGAGCAGCCATAAAGAATTGGCCTGTCATTTTGAGCTATTTTCCAACTTTGATAATAATGCTGGTAAAATGTAATCAGTTTTTATTACGAAATGTAATCTTCTTTCTCTTGGCTTATCAAAGACTAAAGTCCTAATGTGATTAACCAACAAATTATTTTAAATCTAATGTACGTTATTGACTGTTTAGATAACCGGAAATGTCATTAAATACAGTTTTCTGTCTCACAGAGGATCATGCGCTCTCGTGTGGATGATAAACTCCCTTCGAAGGCCTAAATGGAAGAGTGACCAAAGACTATTTCCATAGAGACAATCACAAGAAGGGAGGCACTTGGCTATAAAGTCATATTTAGCTTGCTAATGTACCATATGGCACAGTGTACCAAAGATAGCTTCTACAGTTTACAGGGTTTTTAAGCCCATGTTAATAATTGTTTGCATCAGTGGTACCTTTCTGAAAACTACTGGAAAGGGATTATTAAGGTCAAGGAAGATAATATTATGATAGTGGGTAAACTTGGAGACATATTGTGCTGTATTAATGATTTTAAAACAAAAGTTCACCACAATCACTATGGAATAGCTCATTTAATTTTTTTTCTTGATGTTTTGTTTGTTTTTACTTGATTTTTCATTAATACATTGTGATAATGATTTTAACCTTTGTATTTTTTACATTTCATCAAAAGTGATTGTATTATTACAGCTGAGTTTGCTGGTATAAATAACTATCAAATGCTTGCTTGACTGAATATGTTATGTAAACGTTTAGTGATGTAAGTGGGCTTGAAGAAACTGAGAAAACCACATCATACAATAAATAACCATACATGAAGATCACTGTGGAGTTGTGCACTAATCCTTTTTTTTTTTTAAACGACAACACAAGAGGCAGTTTAATCAGTTTTAATAAATAAATATAAAAATAAATCTCATTGAGACAGTCATAGTTTTAGTAAGGGTCAATGGGACTATAGACAAACCCAAATCCAATGTTCGCTGTAAAGCGATTAGATATTTGAAGGATGAAGACCCATGTCAAATGTGAAACTTCAAAATAAGAAGAAAATAAAATGCTGATTATGAAAATATAGTGCATGTCTGGCTTTATATCATTCTGCCCTCTGATTGGTCCAGAAGGTTGTACTTACAAATCATCCCAGGTCAGGATGGCTGTTCCTTGATTAAACGTAGTATGGGAATGAAAATTCAAATTTCAGAAGTTATGGAGATGTAATTTGTCTATATAGGCCTATATTTCTTGCTATCTCTCCCCAAAGCACCCCTTACATCTGTTCTTGTGCATTTGGTCAAGCTTATCTGTGGTCCAAGATATTGCAACAAAAATATCTGACATTTGCACTTTCATTGTCTACATGTGACCAAAAAATAAATAAAAATATTTCCCCGGTGACAGGTGCGCAGAAACTTACGATCATGTGAAATGACTGAATAGCTTTGACGTCCTTTAGAGTACCAAAGTAACAGTAACCACAGTCACATTTGCTGTCTAAATGTTTGAGATGTGTTTAAGCTGTTTAGGAGGTAAAAACAACAGTAACCGCTAGTTTCACTCATGCCATTGCAACATACGAAGACTGGATTTTGTCAATGTACAGTACATTTTAAGCTAGACTCAGCTACGCTATTTAGCGTTACATTAGCATACAGCTCTTCAAATGTATTTACAACTATGACACAAGAAACTATATGACCTTTTTGTCAGTCAACTAGTGTCTTCAAACTGCTACGTTCACTGAATAAGATCTAAAATGGAGGGTTGATATGCTTGGTATGTATACGGTGCAAGGGTCAAAATATGTACACATTGTACATGACTGGATATTTCAAACAGCTTATCCCCTTACAATGCATGTTAAAGGTCCACCCAGAGGCAGATGATTAAAAAAAAACAGAATGTAATGTTATAAATCTCCCTCTCATATCTCATGTAAAAAAAGAAAGGAAAAGAAAAAGACTTTGTCAACATCTTTCCAAAAAACCCTTGATAACTCTCTAATACTTGATAAAAGCTTCATAATATCAATTCATATTAAAAGAATTAGCAGTTTTAAAACAAACTCCAAAATATAGCTCCAGGAAGACCAGTCTTCTGTTTTGTGTAATATTATGTCCATTTCACAAAAAGTCTCTCGTCATAACCTCTCAGAATAATCTCTGTTCGATCCCTCTTCTTGTTTTTTTGAAAATATATCACAGATATACTTAGCATCTTTCCCTGATCAGTCCCCTGCTCACAAAATGCTAATGCTACGCTAAGCTGTTCTGATTTAGCATGCTCTCATAACCATGCTCCCAAACTGTCACTGTATCAATGTGGCGACGTGTTCTGCTTCCTGCCCCACTGCCTGAGGGTAAAGATGCTAGCAAACATGCTAGCATGAGATAGTGGTGTGGGAACAACTTCAACAATGCCACAGCATGCAGATTCTTAAAAGTTCAGAGTAAAGACCGTTGCCTCACAGTTGCCTGCAAAAACAAACCAAATGAAAACAAAAAACTTGTCGGGACTACTACACAGACTGAACGGCTAGTTCTTGAGTCTAAACATCCACTGTTGTGATTGTTTATCATCTGTTTTTGTGTTGGCTTCTTATGTGTTGTTCTGAAGCATGGTCTTCACCCACTCGCTTAGTGATATGACTAAACTCGGTGGAACTCTTATTGATATTACAGTGCAAAATGACAAGTTATTGAATTAAAGCTTCTACGCTAGCAAGACATACACTGTTTCTAATAAAAGTCTCTGAGATAGCACAGAATATAGTGAGCAGTGTCAGTAGATACAGGTGTTCATATACACAGCATTGCCAAGAGGTTAACTCTTATACAGGAAAGCAGCAAGGAATGCTGGGTAGGGAAAGAAAATAAAGATATACAATAAGTAGATTGTGTGGAAAAGCACCTCTGAGGTTACAGTATGAGGTGAGAACACACTTTTTCTTTTATTGTCTGGTTGGAGGGTTTCTGTTGATATCAGTTTGTTCCTTGATCTCGGATTACAACCTCTACAACACATGGCAGCAGTTGTACTGTGCAAATGGGAGAAGCTTCTCTTTAGAGGTGGGCTGAATGTTGAAGGACAAGGCTTTCTCACAGAGCGGGAACTGCAGCAGACATTCTCGCAAGTTTACGTTCTTAACCTTGCTGGGATCAGCCCTGATAGCAGGGTCAATATTTGTGTCCCTGGTTCCCTGGAGGCCTTTCTGAGGTTTAGGTTGTACCTCCTCAGGTTTTTCAACTTCACCCGCAGTCTTACGCATCTCCACCCCATCAGGACCCAGGTCCACACAGTGGTTCCTTGGCAGGGACCTTGGGGAATCACAAGCGGTTGACACTACCCCAACTTCAAGCAGTCGAGATTTGGCTAGGGTGTTATTGTTGTTTTCTAGAGTGTCCTTTGAAGGTTCACGGTGTCCCCAGCAGCACTGTACAACATCCAGTCTGGGAGGTGGTGCACCTCTGAGGTTACAGTATGAGGTGAGAACACACTTTTTCTTTTATTGTCTGGTTGGAGGGTTTCTGTTGATATCAGTTTGTTCCTTGATCTCGGATTACAACCTCTACAACACATGGCAGCAGTTGTACTGTGCAAATGGGAGAAGCTTCTCTTTAGAGGTGGGCTGAATGTTGAAGGACAAGGCTTTCTCACAGAGCGGGAACTGCAGCAGACATTCTCGCAAGTTTACGTTCTTAACCTTGCTGGGATCAGCCCTGATAGCAGGGTCAATATTTGTGTCCCTGGTTCCCTGGAGGCCTTTCTGAGGTTTAGGTTGTACCTCCTCAGGTTTTTCAACTTCACCCGCAGTCTTACGCATCTCCACCCCATCAGGACCCAGGTCCACACAGTGGTTCCTTGGCAGGGACCTTGGGGAATCACAAGCGGTTGACACTACCCCAACTTCAAGCAGTCGAGATTTGGCTAGGGTGTTATTGTTGTTTTCTAGAGTGTCCTTTGAAGGTTCACGGTGTCCCCAGCAGCACTGTACAACATCCAGTCTGGGAGGTGGTGGAGGTCCATTTATATTTGGACCTTGAATCTGTTCTTCTTCTTGCACAACTAAAGACAAGCTAGGGTGGGTGAAAACACCCTTGTCCTTTCCTCTACCTGGTTGCTCTGTGTGGTTTAACTCTTCCACATGGGCTTCAGTGTTTGGGGACATCTGTACTTGATGTTCCATTGTGCCAGCAGTGATGTTAGACACTGAATCCAAAGGCTTCTGCTCTTCTATGATTTCCGACCCTTCCTCAAGTTCCTCCTCCTCAGCCAGAGTTTCACAGTTTCTCATCACTTTACAAGACGGCCTCCCTGTTCTCTTCTGAGTCTCTGATTGCAAAGAAGTTCTAGAAGGTTTTAACGGGAGATCTGTTGAAGGAAGAGGATCCAATTTATCTGGTGCCACCTCAAGCTTCGCCTCATCCCTGTTCTGCTCATTTTCATCATCCTCATCCTCTTCTTCCTCGCAGATCTGCTGTAAGGCTCCAAGGCTCTTGACAGTAGGTTGGTCCGGAGGTAGAGGGCGCAGACTGAGGCTCAAGCATGGAGCCGTGCTGCAAAAGTCACTGAAGGAGTTGTCATGATGGTTGGGTTTGGGAGCAAGCAAGTCCCCAGACTCACTCACACCACGTCGGACATAGCCGGAAGACAAGGAACCGAGAGGCGCTAAGGGACCTAGAGGTGTTCCTCTTAGTGTATCAGTCCGGGGCACTTGGCTCACCAAGTCCAGTGGTTCTGACATGGGTCTCCTGTAATGTAGCCAATAACAATACTCAGTACAATGTATTAGGAACCTTTATGTACCAACAGTTATGTGGTAAGATTAGTTCTAACACATAAAAGGATAAAATACCTTCAGATCCAAAATTATGTATACGTTTAAGAATACAGGAACTTACAGTGTATGTCTTTGTTCAGGAGAGAGACTTGGCTGCTCTTGCTTTTCTCGAAGGAGTCGTTCTCCCAGCAAGTAGTACGTAGCTGTGATGTGGTTATATCTGTCAGCCTCCAGTGCTCTATCACAAAATATACATTTGTATTATTAACTTAATGCAACTCTGAAGACACCAGGCTATTCTGAGACCAAAAGAAAATATCCAAGAAGAATAAAGAGATACCCACTCCTGGATGGCATCTCGGTCAGCAATGCTGCCACTGGTCATGGCTTGCAGTATGAACTCGTGCTCCTCAGGTAACAAGCTGCGGTGGGAGGTAAGCGGGGCGGCTGTGTACCCAGAAGGCGAAGGGTCAACACCCTGCAACCAAGGGTGACTCTCTATCTCTGTGAGAGACGCCCGTTTAACAGGATCCCTCTGCAGCATATGTGAAATCAAACTGAGGAAAAAAGGAAAATAAGAGGGAGAGAATGATGAGAGATTGTTATTGCTTTTTTTTACCAGAGCAGAATGAGAACATCAGACATGACCTTCTGTCAGGGGAAAAAGAAAAATCCCATTTTCTCAAACAGGTTTGATTTTGTCACCCTTCATCACTCTTGCCTCCATCTCACTTAATTTCAGTCTCACTCTACTTGCAATTTTCATACTTTCCTTTTCTAGCAATCTTAATAAATATTCTCTGCCTAGCTGACAGGCGATGATTGCACAGGCGCATCTTGCCGTCAGAGGAGACTGAATGAAAAGGAAGTGCTTATCTTTCTGCTGATTAATATTCATGAGCACCTGTAGAGAATTGTTGCTTCAGTGAGGCGAACGAAAAGAATACGAAATTGGTTGGAACTCTTGCGATCCAAGCTTGCAAGTGTATGTGTGAATGCACTGCACCCAGCTTGTCTATTCAAGGAATTTGAGTGTTTTATTTCACTGCGCGGTACTGGCACACATTTCTGAAACATGCATCTTACATAGATGACCAGCAGGGGGAGATGTTTTCCCTTTTGAAGTGTGTTTTTTAGGTCTCTGAGTGTTTGCGTTTATAATCCCACATGCTCCATTGCCCTTGAACATCAGCAGAGTCTCCTGCTGTGTTTAACCTCAAGACCTTAAATAGCCGTGAGGATGAAGGGTGGGGAAAAAAGCGAACTACATATGAACAGCAAGATGAAAGTACGCCTGAAGACACAAGTGTTCTCCTCTAAGAAAATCCTTCCCATTAAAGGAAGCTTTTGATTGTGGTGGAGATCATGTGACCCAGTCACTATGTTTGGCTGTGCAGCCAAGCCCAGATGTCTAACACACACTTGTATTAACACTCTTGCACAACTGACTGATTCAGACCTAAACTCAAGCCTGAGAGCTGTTGCTTTGGGGATGTTCTGACTACAAATAGACTGGAATAAACCCACTTAAAAATAACTTCACTCTGACAAAAGGCAGCCTTGTGTAAAAATTTGGTCACTATCGAGCTGCAGTGAACACAAAAGCAGGCTTGTGCACCATTTAGATTTTTAATATTTAATACATTTTGTGGTTCTTAACGGTAAAATCTATTATAAAAATACTCAACGAAATTTAGAGAAATAAATCTCATCATCTGAGGACAAAAGTATTCTATATGAGGGAATTAATAGTCATAATTAGTCAAAAATTAATCATGTAATGATGTATTGTTTGCAAAGCAAAAAAAAAAAAAAAGTGTGACTTGATTTCAATTAAAATCCAAATTCCAAATCATGCCTAACCCTTCTTAAGAGCATTACAATGTTATGATTCAAATAATATACTAAAGCTTAGTTAAGAAGTCAAGTGTATCTAATTGAGCTGGAAAATCTAGTTAAAGCCCTTATGAAAAGAAAAAAGGAGGAAGTTGTCTTGACCTGTTACTTTCAATATCCATCACCTGGTCCAAGGATGGAAATTCTGTGTGTCTGTCATAACTTGCTCCTAAATCTAACCTCCAAGAACCTTTGCTCATCCAAACAGAAGCCTGGTTGGCTTGCTTAAGCATAATTTAGAGAGCCACAACCTGTGATTGGCTGGTACAAGCAGGTGTAAACAGATAAAGTACAGTATGTTCAGATGAACTCCGGTCTACACGTAGGTATGAAGTTTGGCGTGAAAGTGGTACAAACTGGAGCGCACGGGTGTGGTGTTTGAGAGACCATGAGAGACCACAATGTGCCAGTTCTCAGAGAGAAAAAACAACAACAACAAAACACTGCGTTCCAATGGCACATGGCTGTCAAGGACATCTTAAAAACTAGTCTATTTACTCAAGCATGCTTTTGTGGGCATGTATCAGATCAGCATGCAAGATCTATGTGAAAAGGGTTTTACCAGGGTCATGTCCTTGGTAATATTGGTTTCCAGAAATAGTGAACTCGACAGCACCAGCATGGAAAGAAAAGACTATTGATATATGACATCTGCTGACCCCGAAGAAAACACTAAGCAGATTTAATAAAACTTGTTACATAATGGCCAACTACTATCATGGTGAAGAGAAGACTATTTAGATTTCATCACAATGCAAAAACATATTTTCCAGTGAAAACATTAAAACAAGTTTAATTTATGTCAGAAGCAAAATTGCATAAGATAACATATGATTACTTGTTTCCAAAGAATACATCTTAAATTATATTCATACCCCAAATATTTTTTCTTGTTTTATGCATAAATGTAATGAGGTTTATGCTTTAAAGAAGAAAATAACAAATGCCAATGGAGTAAGAAAAATGAACTAATAAAGCTCATGTTGTCGGAAAACAAGTCTTAATATTTAATGCAATTTTGCTTCAAGTAAAAAAATAAAAAAAAGACAAAAATACTGATAAAGGGGGTTTTTTATTTACTTATTTTTGCAGTGTATAAATACACAATAACCTCCAGCCTTCTGGATTAAATCTGAGACATCCGTTTCTTAGTTGGGTGTGTGTCTGAGGAAAATTAAAGCTCAGATGACATACGTACTCTTTGCATTCTGGAGAGATGTGGTTTGGCACAGTGTAGCGACAGTCCATGATCATGATGAGGGTCTCGCTGTCATTGGCCTCTTGAAAGGGTGGGTGTCCACACACTAGCATATAGAGGATCACACCCAGTGACCAGATATCTGAAAGACACACAATAACAGACTTTATCTCAAATATTTCTTATTTATTCGCAACATTAGTTTGTGTAAA